GGGGACAGTGTGGGAGGCTGTATAGGGGGCAGTGTGTGTGTATGGGGGGGCAGTATGGGGACAGTGTGTGTGTATGGGAGGCTGTATAGGGGGCAGTGTGTGTGTGTATGGGGGGGCAATATGGGGGGGCATGTGTGTGTATGGGGGGCAATGTGTGTGTGTACACACCCCCCCCCCCCCAGCCTACCTGTCACTGGGGGTCAGGCAGCCATCTTCTGCATTACGGCGGGGGCGGGGCTTATCGACGGGAGGCGGGGCTTCATTTGGGGGCGGGGCCTGTGCCGGGGAGCCAATCAGTGCTCCCTCCGGCCACAGACCGCCCCCAGCATCGCAGCACTGCATTCCCTCGGGCTGTAACAGGCTGTTACAGTCCGAGGGAAGCCCATGGCCAGCAAGTTGCTGGCATTTGGGGGGGCCCAAGGGGGGGCACAGCATGATGTAGGGGGGGCCATGGCCCCCTCTGGCCCCCCCCTAGCGACGCCACTGGTTAACCCCTCTATGATATTAAACCCCCCTGAACCATAACAACTTCTAACATTATCTTGCATACGTTTACACGGCTATATACACTTACTATATTCACAGATTCAAACACAATACATTACAAGATGAAATATGAACATACATACATTTATACATATGAATTTGTCAAATATGAATATGTTTTTTTTAGATATTTTTAGTTCTGCAATGTCCAGTTAAATATATACATTATACTTACATTAGCTGCCTTATTTTGGGATTGTGCGGCAGGGGGCAAATGAGAATTTAGTACAGGCACCTGACATGTAAAGCTGGCCATAGAGATAAGAGGCTGACAAAAATAATTAGAGACAAAGTGAGTCACGGGACAAAAGCAAGCTAACCCGACCTTAAAGGAACACTACAGTGTTAGGAATACAAACGGGTTTTGATTGATATATTGATATATTTTGATTAAAAAAATTATATGCTATATTTTTCATAGCTTAATATGTTGAAAAAAATAATTTTATAAGTTTATCCAAAAATATTAAATTGTTCAGAAATATACAACAATATTAGATTGAGGCCAAGGTTACATAGTAATTACATATATTTAAAAAAGACCCAATCTGTAGCAATTTAACTCTGTACAACAAAAAAAATTGTGGAATGTTAAGATTCCTGTCAATTATAATACAAATACATTTTAAAATTAAACATTTTTCTCACTTTGGTGACATCTATTACATTGCTCTTCACAATAATATAAAAATGCATTTCCAAACAATTGTCGGTATGCGTGGCATATTCAAAAAAGAAAAACATATAAAAATCGAAATCAGTAAAGTAAGAAAATTGAGAACATGCATTAAGACAAATCATGCAAACAGAAAAATAAATGTAATTTTTATGGTTCCTTTAGGGGGTAAATAAAAAAATCTAGTAAATCTTCGTATCCCCCTTAATAGTCATGCATGTTCATATTACTTTTCTCTAGCACTGGAAAAATATAAATATATATACACTGAACAAAATAATAAACGCAACACTTTTGTTTTTGCCCCCACTTTTTATGAGCTGAACTCAAAGATCTAAGACTTTTTCTAGGTACACAAAAGGCATATTTCTCTCAAATATTGTTCAAAAATCTGTCTAAATCTGTGTTAGTGAGCACTTCTCCTTTGCCGAGATAATTCAAGATGCTGATTAGACAGCATGATTATTGCACAGGTGTGCTTTAGGCTGGCCACAATAAAAGGCCACTCTAAAATGTGCAGTTTTGGTGTATTGGAGGGGTCCATGGGGGTCCAAAAACCAGTCAGTATCTAGTGTGACCACCATTTGCCTCACACAGTGTAACACATCTCCTTCGCATAGAGTTGATAAGGTTGTTGATTGTGGCCTGTGGAATGTTGGTCCACTTCTATTCAATGGCTGTGCAAAGTTGCTGTATTGGCAGGACCTGGAACACGCTGTCGTATACGCTGATCCAGAGCATCCCAAACATGCTCAATGGGTGACATGTGCGGTGACTATGCATGCAAGAACTGGGATGTTTTCAGCTTCCAGGAATTGTGTACAGATTCTTGCAACATGGGGCCGTGCATTATCATGCTGCAACATGGGGCAATGGTCGTGGATGAATGGCACAACAATGGGCTTCAGGATCTCGTCACGGTATCTCTGTGCATTCAAAATGCCATCATTAAAATGCACCTGTGTTCGTTGTCCATAACAAACAACTGCCCATACCATAACTCCACCGCCACCATGGGCCACATGATCCACAACGTTGACATGAGCAAACCGCTCACCCACACGATGCCATACACGCTGTCTTTCATCTGCGGTTGTGAGGTTGGTTGGATGTACTGCCAAATTCTCTAAAACGCCTTTGGAGATGGCTTATGTTAGAGAAATGAACATTCAGTTCAAGGGGCAACAGCTCAGGTGGACATTCCTACAGTCAGCATGCCAATTGCATGCTCCCTCAAAACTTGCGACATCCGTGGCATTGTGCTTTGTGATAAAACTGCACATTTTAAAGTGCCTTTTTATTGTGGCCAGCCTAAGGCACACCTTTGCAATAATAATGCTGTCTAATCAGCATCTTGATATGCCACACCTGTGAGGTAGATGGCTTATCTCGGCAAAGGAGAAGTGCTCACTAACACAGATTTAGACAGATTTGTGAACAATATTTGTGAAAAATAGATCTTTGAGTTCAGCTCATGAAAAATGGGGGCAAGAACAAAAGTGTTGCGTTTGTAATTTTGTTCACTGTATATATATATATATATATATATATATATATATACTGCTCAAAAAAATAAAGGGAACACAAAAATAACACATCCTAGCTATGAATTAATTAAATATTCTTCTGAAATACTTTGTTCTTTACATAGTTGAATGTGCTGACAACAAAATCACACAAAAATTAACAAATGGAATTTAAATTTTTCAACCCATGAAGGTCTGGATTTGGAGTCACACTCAAAATTAAAGTGGAAAAATACACTACAGGCTGATCCAACTTTGATGTAATGTCCTTAAAACAAGTCAAAATGAGGCTCAGTAGTGTGTGTGGCCTCCACGTGCCTGTATGACCTCCCTACAACGCCTGTGCATGCTCCTGATGAGGTGGCGAATGGTCTCCTGAGGGATCTCCTCCCAGACCTGGACTAAAGCATCTACCAACTCCTGGACAGTCTGTGGTGCAATGTGACATTGGTGGATGGAGCGAGACATGATGTCCCAGATGTGCTCAATTTAATTCAGGTCTGGGGAACGGGCGGGCCAGTCCATAGCATCAATGCCTTCGTCTTGCAGGAACTGCTGACACACTCCAGCCACATGATGTCTAGCATTGTCTTGCATTAGGAGGAACCCAGGGCCAACTGCACCAGCATGTGGTCTCACAAGGGGTCTGAGGCTCTCATCTCGGTGCCTTATGGTAGTCACTTTACCTCTGGCGAGCACATGGAGGGCTGTGCGGCCCCCCCCATAGAAATGCAACCCCACACCATTACTGACCCACTGCCAAACCGGTCATGCTGGAGGATGTTGCAGGCAGCAGAACATTCTCCACGGCGTCTCCAGACTCTGTCACGTCTGTCACATGTGCTCAGTGTGAACCTGCTTTCATCTGTGCAGAGCACAGGGCATCAGTGGCGATTTTTGCCAATCTTGGTGTTCTCTGGCAAATGCCAAACGTTCTGCACGATGTTGGGCTGTAAGCACAACCCCCACCTGTGGAAGTCAGGCCCTCATACCACCCTCATGGAGTCTGTTTCTGACCGTTTGAGTAGACACATGCACATTTGTGGCCTGCTGGAGGTCATTTTGCAGGGCTCTAGCAGTGCTCCTCCTGTTCCTCCTTGCACAAAGGCAGAGGTAGCGGTCCTGCTGCTGGGTTGCTGCCCTCCTACGGCCTCCTCCACGTCTCCTGATGTACTGGCCTGTCTCCTGGTAGCGCCTCCATGCTCTGGACACAATGCTGACAGGCACAGCAAACCTTCTTGCCACAGCTCGCATTGATGTGCCATCCTGGATGAGCTGCACTACCTGAGCCACTTGTGTGGGTTGTAGACTCCGTCTCATGCTACCACTAGAGTGAAAGCACCGCCAGCATTGAAAAGTGACCAAAACATCAGCCAGGAAGCATAGGAACTGAGAAGTGGTCTGTGGTCACCACCTGCAGAACCACTCCTTTATTGGCAGTGTCTTGCTAATTGCATATATTTTCCACCTGTTGTCTATCCCATTTGCACAACAGCATGTGAAATTGATTGTCAGTCAGTGTTGCTTCCTAAGTGGACAGTTTGATTTCACAGAAGTGTGATTGACTTGGAGTCACATTGTGTTGTTTAAGTGCTCCCTTTATATTTTTGAGCAGTGTATATTTTTCCAGTGCTAGAGAAAAGTAATATGAACATGCATGGCTATTAAGGGGGATATGAAGAATTACTAGATTTTTATATTTACCCCCTAAAGGAACCATAAAAATTACATTTATTTTTCTGTTTGCATGATTTGTCTTAATGCATGTTCTCAATTTTCTTACTTTACTGATTTTGATTCTTATACGTTTTTCTTTTTTAAATATGTCATGAATACCGACAATTATTTGGAAATGCATTTTTATATTATTGTGAAGATATATATATCCAAAGCAGCTTGGCACTCTCCTTACTAATAAAAAGCAAAAACAGAATTGCCTAGGTGCTACCCGCGTTACATATATATAATGTATTTTTCAATATTTACAACAAGATTACAAAAAAATAGTTTTGTGGTCAAAATTCAAATCAATATTCAATGGCTTCAGGTATCATATTTCATGAGTCCATAATGTTTCTCTGTTTTTTCAAATCTCAATTCTTCATAGCACAGAAAACAAAATATATATATATATATATATCTTAAAGGCAAAATATATATATATATTTTAATTTACATCTGTTCGTTCAATAAAAAAAAGTTATTTGCATTTCTTTTAGCGTACTTGTAGAGAATTTTACATTGGACATTAGAGACAATGCCCTCTTGGTTTTGAAGACCTTCTTGCAAGATATGCTTTTAATATGAATACAGGTATCTCCTACAGCTTCAGTTCAATGCAGTGATGGAATCAGAAGTGCTGTGATCCCACAGGGCAATGTTGGTGCAGGTGCAGATCAAAGGGATTGCAATGGACAAAATATTTTGGGGGGCTTGAGCCCAAGAGAACATTTGGTGAACCTAAGAAAATGGAGCATCACATAAAAACGTTAACACAAATTATAAGTGATTTCTATTCATCAGATGAAAGAGGTGTACCCTTTCCCACCAGGTTTTTTTGTCATGAAACTATGAACTCCATAAGCAGCTTCTTATATATTTTTTGCTGTGGAGTTAAAGCCCACCTGGATGAAAAAGATAAAAATGATGGTTGACCAAAATAAATTTTAAGCTCACTTTAATAATTGATGATGATACCAGTGAAATAAACTGGAAATGCAGAACATGATTATACAAGTATTAAGGCTTTCGACATCTGGATCAAATTTTGTTTTGTGACAAATGTATTTATTGAATGTTCTGTGAAGCTTTTCAGCACTTCAAATTTTTGATTGGTGCTTTCTAACACCCAAACATAGATTCGCTTTGTGATCAAGCATTAAGTTGTATGTTTTCTGACAAGATTGGGATTCTATACAAATAGATATAAACTGAGCAAATATTATGATACTATGGATTAGCAAAGGGATGAATCTTCCTAATTTTCAACCCTAAGGTAAAGCTTTTACATTTTATTTTATATTTACTTCCTCTTGGCACTATTAAACACTTGTAAGCCATACAATCACAGCTTTTGAAGAATATTTATGGATTCCTTTTCTAAATCCACCCACGTTTGTTATTTTATTTCCAAGCAGCCTTTCTTTTCTTGAAAGCATTTAATGAGCAGTTTGTAAAGACGATTTACAAACTGATGTAACCGAGTGGAGAAGAAGACAGACAACTTGCTATTACAGGAACCAGTCGAAGTTTTGATAGTGGGTGTGGGCAGTATTTTGGCACATAAAAATTTTAAATAATTGTTCTTCACATATTTCATCACCCTCCTTATGGGCACAGGTACTGTTCCACATTTTACTTTCACATCATGACCGATTAACCAAATGGTCACCAAATGGCATGGGAATAGATAAAACCATTATAACTTTGCCATATATAATTTATCAACCCTGACCAGCTGGCCACATCCACACCCATCCAATATCAGACCATTAAGAGTTGACAGGTCTGTCAGATAGTAGGGACCTGTTCACCTAGTAATGGATACTAGCATGGCCCTTGTTTATCCTAGAACAGGGGTAGGCAACCTACGGCACTAGTGCCACGCACGGCACTCGAGGTGTCTTTGCACGGCACTCAAGGCTGCTAGAGCCAAACAGGCTCTGGCCTATCAGGAGTCCCAGTGAAACTTCAGATATCTGCTAATACGAAAAGGTGGTGAAGGACAATCCTCAATTTATGCATTGCAGCACATAGAGGAAGTGATCTCAGATCACTTCCTCCCAGCACTTGTAAATGGGAATCCACATTGTAGTATAGCAGCCTGCAGCTGCTGTTGCAGCTCCTGTCCTGTACCTGTACCTGGCCAGCCTGGTCCCCACTGGAACCCAGGGAAGCCACCCACACTGCTAGCTATACACAGAAATGCAGAATAAGCCTCCCCTCATACAAATAAAACAAACAGCCCACACACAAACACAAAACACAATCTGCACAAACGTGTTGCAAGGTCAGACTACTCGATAACAACCGTTGTACATTCCATACTGCCAATGTCAGGCCTTAATATCACTGTATCTTGTTGTTTCATATATTATATCTTGAATACCAATGACAATTGATGTATCAATGCGAATTTCCAATAAAAATTTTCAAAAAAAAAAAAAAAACGTAACCCGCTAACAATTCACATACATGCACACAATCTCACATGAAATACCCCAAACAGCCCCCACACATACACACACTACCAAACACACAATGTGACATATCCATCCACACAATTCCACAAGCAGCCCCCATACACAGCACACATTCATATGTATCATACACAACACCACAAACTACTTATAAACATATACAATATAATAGCTCATATACGCACAAATACAACAATACAAAGCTATTACAGTATAAATAACACAAGCAGAATACGGCAGCATACACACTTCAATTTTAAAAAAATTGGACCGGCATCACAATCCTATATCGGCACAGTGCTGCTAAAAGGTTGCCTACCCCTGTCCTAGAACCTAGGGTTTCCCTCCCCAGGTTTTGGCTTCCAATGCACTCCACATGTATTTTCATACTGCAGCTCATCTATCTAGAATACATGGTAAGAAAAGATGGGCCATTCCTTCCTATATATTGCTGAGTGTATGCGTGTCTGTCACTGAGAGTGTGTGTCTGTCAGTGAATGTGTATGTCTGTCAGTGTGTGTCTGTCAGCTAGTGTATGTGTGTCTGTCAGCCAATGTGTGTGTCTGACACTGAGTGCATATATGTCTGTCATTGAGTGTTGTATATGTGTTTGTCAGTGTGTATCTGTCAGTGAGTGTGTCCCAGTGTGTGTGTGTGTGTCTGACACTGAGTGAGTGTGTATGCATAATACCATTTATCCAGTCAATTGTGTTCATTGATGGTCCAGGTTTACTACAATATGTTGTAATTCTGAGCTTCATCACTGGGAATTGATGTTTCCTAGATTAGAGGCATGCTATTCAAGTTACATTCTGCAGTATGAACAATGTAAGGCTGTGTTCTTCACATTTCTATCATAAAACACTCATCCACTCAGAAAGTGCTGAGGAAATGATTTGTGCAAAACAAAGTTACTTCCCTCAGGTCTATTTTCCCCTTCAATACCACGTCTTGTTGATTAGCTTACAAAAAGAACAGGTTTTTTTTGTGTAGATTGTTTGGAAATATTTTTAAAAATTAAAACGTTGTGAAGGTACACAATTGTAACATTTAATCTAATTTACCTATTAAAGAAATGTTGGAGGATACTTTTTTAGAGACTATAAAATATTCCATTACTTCAGACTAATTCTGAAAAAATATATAAGATAAAATGGAGGCATGATAAGAAAAAAATTAAGTGGCATGCCCTGCTAATGTGTATTTGTTAAGAATAAGATTATATTTTTGGGAATGCGGATTTGTAAAATGCGTAAAATGCATGAGTAAAAACGACGAGGGCCTAAATCTCACGTGATATCGGCACCTATTCCAAATCCATCATCAACACAAGGCGTAATGAGTAGTTGCCCAGGAAACAAGGAATCCACAGGGGTCCATAGCAGCTGACCTTCTGCTCTACAGTCTTAGCCAAGGGCTAAGAGTAAAATACCGGCTAATGTGCAAAAGCACAAATTCTACTGGCTGTGAAAAGCCTATTGGCTGCAACTAGGATTCCTGTATTCATTCTGCAAGTCTCTACTGCTGGTGGTAAAAGTTTTACACTCAGAGTCTTCCTCTGCCGTGCCAATTCTGTATTTAGACTGTCAATAGATACACACAAAATTATTATTTTTAACTTTTATCTGTTTCTTTAACCCCTTAATGATGGATGACAGACCCGGTCCGTCATGCTGGGGAAGCACTTAATGCCAGATGACAGACCAGGTCCGTCATGCGCTAAAATTAACCCCAGATCGAGGTAATCGAGGAAAACCGGGAGCAACTGTGATCGCTCTGATAGGCTGTTAGAGCAAGCACATGTGCTGCAGGGACTCCTGATCTGCCTCTCTATGCTTCCGCGGTCAGTGTGAAGTGAAGGGAGACGGATCAGTGCTGCTGATCTAATGTGTTTGTGGGGAAGTTTGAATAACCAACCAGCTAAACTACTCCAAAATGAAACATGGGCACAGGGTAAACCTTCAAAGTTCAAAACAAACTGAATGGCTGCGTCTCAAATGTGCCCCTTCAATGTCCATATACACCTTGCAAAGGTACATACAGGGGTATTGCTGTACTCAGACGACATAGCTGAACAACATATGAAGTATGAAGTCGTAGCACACATAAGGTTTGCAAAATTTACTGTGCAAACTCACTTTGTGTGTCAAAAAGGCAGACAAAATGCTTATTACCACTACACTTGGTACAAGCTAGCAGAAAAATGATCCCAGGCTAAGTTTCAAAATATGCCTTTTGAAATACTTTAAGAAATGGTAAGCCTTTATGGTGTAGTTGGAATATGTAGCCTGCTCAAGTGCTCCAAAGTGGGACACGAACACACCAAAACCCTCTGTGAAAATTCACACTTAAAATCCTGAACTTGTCACGTCCCTTTTACAGCACTGTAGCTTCACAAAATAGTGTCTAGGTCAGGGGTAGGCAACCTTTTAGCAGCACTGTGCCGATATAGGATTGTGATGTCCCGTGGCATGCCGGTCCTTTTTTTTTTTAATTGAGGTGTGTATTGCTGCCATATTCTGCTTGTTATTTATAAGGTAATTGCTTTGTATCGCTGAATATTTGTGCGTATATGAGCTATTATAATGTGTATGTTCACAGGAGTAGTTTGTGGTATTGTGTATGATACATATGAATGTGGGCTGTGTATGGGGGCTGCTTGTGGAATTGTGTGTGTGGATGGATATGTCACGTTGTGTCTTTGGTAGTGTGTGTATATGTGGGGGCTGTTTTGGGTATTGCATGTGAGGGACTGCATGTGGGGTTGTGTGCGTGTATGTGGATTGTTAGCAGGTTACGTTTCTGCGGATTGTGTGTCTATGTTTGTGGGCTGTTTGTATTATTTGTATGAGGGGAGGATTATTGTGCATTTCTGTGTATATTTAGCAGTGTGTGAGGCTTCCCTGGGATCCAGTGGGGACCAGGCTGGCCAGGTACAGGTCGAGGACAGGAGCTGCAACAGCAGCTGCAGGCTGCTCTACTAGAGTGTGGATTCCCATTCACTATGTGCTGCAATGCATAAATTGAGGATTGTCTTTCACCACCTTTTTGTATTAGCAGGTATCTGAAGTTTCACTGGGACTCCTGATAGGCCAGAGCCTGTTTGGCTCTAGCAGCCTTGAGTGCCGTGCAAAGACACCTTGAGTGCCGTGCATGGCACTAGTGCCGTAGGTTGCCTACCCCTGGTCTAGGTCATACTTTGAGCATATTGTTTTACTCGGAAGATGTAACTGAGCATAATTTGGGGGTTTTATGACAGTGGTACATATCAAGTGTAATAAATACTTGGCAAAAATGCAACATCTATGAAAAAATGCCCTTTTTTTACCCCTCACCACAAACATTGACATAAATTGGTGAAAAAATGGTGACAAGTTAAGGCACAATATATGCTATGTAAGATACCCTAGGGTGTCTGCTTTATCACATGAAAGCCCTTTGTGGGGTTATTTGA